TTTCCATCCCCTCTCCCCTTTCCATCCCCCCTCCCCCATCCAATCCTCTCTCCCCACTTCCATCCCAGTTCCCCCATTCCTTCCCACTCTCCCTTTCCCATTTCCTCCCTTCTCCCCCCCCAATCCCTGCTCCATTATCCCATCAAATCCAGCCAAATCCCCAATCCATCCATTGCCCTTGGGTGCAGAGAGATGGGGAGAGTTCATCCCAACACCTTATCCAGGTGCATTCAGCACCTGCAAATGACTATTCCCAGCTCCAGGAACAATATCCCATTCCATGCTGGGAATACTGGGATCCAGCAGCACCTGCAGCCTGTGAGCTCCACACGTGATGCTCTGGAAGCAGCTGGAGCCTTTCACAATTCCAGCCCAGCTGCCTTTGGAATTCACTCCCAAAAAAAAAAAATCACTAAACCTGCCCTAAAATCAGCACAGTTTGTGCTATTCCCAGAAAAAAACCCACAACCTCCTAGTTCCCAAGGGGGAGGGGATGGATGTGCCACTTGGAAGTGCCACCAGGAAGTGCCACCAAGAAGTGCCAGCAGAAAGTGCCACCAGAGCAATGCTCATTGTCCCTAAATCATCCCCCAAACAACCCTGAGGTGCTGCTGGAACATTCCAGGGGCAATAATTCCCATTCCAAGGACACTCACCAGGTGCCTGATGCCATTCCAGGTGTGGTAGGACAATGGGAAGGCCAAGGAGAACTTGGCACAATAGATGAGGGCAGGGCCCAAGCTCAGTGCCCTCACCTGTGCCAGGTAGTGAGGGAACTGCTCCGGGAGCAGGAGAGCAGCCAGGCCAAACAGGGATACACCTGGGAATGGCACACACGGATCAGGAAAACTTTCTCACCCCTCTTGGGCCAACCCCACCCATGTCCTCATTCTGGTGCCACAGCCACCACCAGCTCCTGGTGGCCTGGGGAGTGACAAAGGCTCAGCCAGGACCCTGATCCCTTCCCTGATCCCTTCCCAAGGCTCTCCAGGATTCCAGGGATCCTCCCAGACCTCTGCCCCAGGATTTTTGGGATATGCCCAGCCCCAGTCTGGATCCCCCAGTCCAACCTTCAGGACTTTTGGGACCCTCTCAAGGGTGGCCCATCATGTCCCAGGGGTGTCCCACTGTATCCCAAGGGTGTTCCCATCATGTCCAGGGGTGTCCCATCATGTCCCATCATGTCCCAGGGGTGTCCCACTGTATCCCAAGGGTGTTCCCATCATGTCCAGGGGTGTTCCATCATGTCCCATCATGTCCCAGGGGTGTCCCACTGTATCCCAAGGGTGTTCCCATCATGTCCAGGGGTGTTCCATCATGTCCCATCATGTCCCAGGGGTGTCCCACTGTATCCCAAGGGGGTTCCCATCATGTCCAGGGGTGTCCCATCATGTCCCATCATGTCCCAGGGGTGTCCCACCATGTCCCAGAGGAGTCCCACCATGTCCCAAGGGTGTCCCATCATGTCCCAGAGGTGTCCCATCATGTCCCAGGGGTGTCCCATTTTGTCCAGGGGTATCCCAGGGCTGTCCCATCATGTCCCAGAGGTGTCCCACCATGTCCAAGGGGTGTCCCATTTTGTCCAGGGGTATCCCAGGGCTGTCCCATCATGTCCCAGAGGTGTCCCACCATGTCCAAGGGGTGTCCCATTTTGTCCAGGGGTATCCCAGGGCTGTCCCATCATGTCCCAGAGGTGTCCCACCATGTCCAAGGGGTGTCCCATTTTGTCCAGGGGTATCCCAGGGCTGTCCCATCATGTCCCAGAGGTGTCCCACCATGTCCAAGGGGTGTCCCATTTTGTCCAGGGGTATCCCAGGGCTGTCCCATCATGTCCCAGAGGTGTCCCACCATGTCCATGGGTGTCCCACTGTATCCCAGAGGTGTCCCATCATGTCCAGGGGTGTCCCACTGTATCCCAGGGGTGTCCCATCATGTCCCAGGGGTGTCCCACCATGTCCAGGGGTGTCCTATTGTGTCCCAGGGGTGTCCCATCATGTCCAGGGGTGTCCCACTGTATCCCAGGGGTGTCCCATCATGTCCCAGGGGTGTCCCACCATGTCCAGGGGTGTCCTATTGTGTCCCAGGGGTGTCCCATCATGTCCAGGGGTATCCCAAGGGTGTCTCCTTGTGTCCCAGAAGTGTCCCCTTGTGTCCTAGGGGTGTCCCACCATGTCCCAGGGGTGTCCCATCATGTCCTGGGGTATCCCAGGGGTGTCCCACCACATCCCAGGGGTGTCCCAGGGGTGTCCCCTTGTGTCCCCTCCCTGTCCCTGGAGCCCAGCACCCACCCAGGCTGAGTGCCACACCAGTGCCTCGGTGTGTGATGGACATGGCCATGGGCAGAGACCACCTGGAATGGGAAAACACCTGGAGTTAGCCCAGCAATCCCCTGGGAATGTGCAGAGACAGGTTGGGAATAGCACAGTAACAGGGGTGCCCAGGGGAGGGGGCAGAGTCCTGGGGTGCCCAGGGTGAGATTGGGGTGCCCCAGGGTGATGTTAGGGTGCCCCAGGGTGCAGTTGGGGTGCCCCAGGGTGAAGTTAGGGTGCCCCAGGGTGCAGTTGGGGTGCCCAGGGTGAGGGGCAGAGCCCTGGGGTGCCCTAGAGTGAACTTGGGGTGTCCCAGGATGATGTTAGGGTGCCCCAGGGTGAGGTAGCAGAGCCCTGGGGTGCCCCAGGGTGATATTAGGGTGCCCCAGGGTGAAGCTGGGGTGCCCCAGGTTGCAGTTGGGGTCCCCAGGTGAGGGGGCAGAGCCCTGGGGTGCCCCAGCATGATCTTGGGGTGCACCAGGGGGAAGTTAGGGTGTCCCAGGTGAAGTTAG